AGAAAATTACAAGTGAAAAATAGGGATATTACCTTGTTACATTTGCAGAAATCTTCATCGCACTTCCCTTGACCAAGTTGTTTTACATAGCAATCATCGTGAACAACGCAGCAATGGTTAAGTTCGACTGAAAGACATTGAAAGATGAATAGTTCGGTTCACTCTTGATTGAAGAACATTATTTCTAGAGATGAAGCGATACCTATGAATTCTGGGCAATCCTCTATAATTGTTTGATACGATATGTTTCTGGAAGCCTCTTCTGTTCCACAGTGCCAATCCTCGAACCGTAAAGAAGATCCAAGGAGCACAAAGGAAAGTAACCACAAGAACGAGTTACAACGAGACATCGCAACCTTAAAATGGAAATCTTTTCACGGGATGAGGATGAGAAACATCTTGGAGAAGATGTGAAGTAAGCTCGAGGTAGGAAAAAATGACTTCAAGAAATGGAAACATTTTGAAGTGATTACGTACGGTATCAGTAACATACTACAATGAAATAAGCATCGAAAAAGAGACACGAAGAACCCACGTGTAATCACGCCATCTTCTAATTGAATTAACGTCCTTCGATTCGTAGTGCCTCCTCACGACGGGGCTTTTATAGGCTCGTTGTCTTCGGGAACGGTCATCGTCATCAGACGATCAATGTGTGGGAGAAAAGGTTTTCAAATGGCTACATACATCATCATCCTCCTCAGAAACAAAATTTAAAGAGGAAAACAATATAAACATATTATACTGTAATGAGGGAATTCTTGTGTGAACCAAAAGTCAAAGAAGCAAAAACGATTGTGTGAGGAACATGACAGAAGAAACAGTGAGCAGTTAACAGTGTTTTTGAGAGTGAGATCAGGACAGATTATGAAGATGTAATTACGATTGCCTTGGATGACATTCAGTTAAGACGTGTTCGTCTGAGATACTGATCAACCGAGAAAAAAATAGACAAAGAATGTTACTAATCAAGTACAGCGAAAATTTGAAAATAATAGAAGTCCAACTAACTATTTAAAGATGAGGTATGATCTAAGGGTAAGTGAACTGACGCACATAATCATTTTTCGCCAAAATGTTGTATGTGTTGATGTCTGAAAACAGAATGGTCTTTACAGAACTTTTTGAAATCTTCCAGTCTACCCAGTGAAAGAACATTTGAAAATCAGTTAAGAAAATAAGTAATTTAGCATTGGAGCTGTTTTTTATTATCATTGGAGCAGTCAAAAAGAGGTCGGTGACAGTCGCTGCTTTAATCATTACTGATTTGAACAAGTTGTATATTTCGAATAGTAAGATTATCAGTTAATTATTCTGAACACCGTAATGAAAGTTTCAAACGAGTGAGTAGGTGATATGAATACACTTCTCAATGATTGTTCTCAAAAATGAGATTTTTACAAATAAACGTTCTTAATGTTACGACAAACGCTCCATTAAGTGTGCTCTCTTGAGAAAAAAATTTACGGATAGTAGATCAAATAAAATTCGAGATTAAACATAAGGAATTGAGAAGATCTTTGACTACCCTGAGTTACAGATTCATGATATATACTGTCAAAAAATGAGAGGAATCAGCATAGTTTGAGAAAAGCCCGGGCCTTCTATTGATGCACACAACAAGGTGGCTACGGATAAAAATTATTTATTTTCTTCATACAGGTCTATGACACTTTTTTCCAAATAAGGAGCTGATTCTGCAATTTCTTTAGCTTCAATAAGCTCATAGAGTGTACCAGGGAGTATTTACCTATTCATATAAATGGGCATATGAAGGAAATTCATTCTATTCCAAATCAACGACATTTAAAAATAACGATTCGAGGCTCGAGTTCCAAATTTTTCAGTTTTATCAGGTATGAATCTTAATGGAAACGTCTTCGGAATCAATCAATTTGGATATCAATGTGCTCACCGAGCGAACGAGGCAAACTCGCGTCGCAAACTTCAGGAGATATGGAACAAGTTATAGTATAGAATTGGTTCAAGTTCCGATAAAAAATGTTTCACTTGTTTTGTATCTTTTCAAAATCATATTTCAAGCTCATAAGCTACGTGTAGAAATATTATTTCATATTTCATTTTGCTGGCAGAATCAGATTGAGACAGAATCTGATACATAGAGAGAAAGTCTGAGAGTTGATAATGATCAGCTAAACACAATTTGACGTTGATTTCTTCATGTATGCGAATATATGTGTGGTTAGGGATTATTGCGCCACGTTTTCAAAAACAAATCAAAGTTAATGCCATGTTCTGAAGAAACTTTACAGAAGCTATGTATATCCCCTCCACTTCTTCGTATACTTCTGAGACTGAAACAGTAAATGCATTTTATTATTTCATGAAAATTTCATAATGTCCTTGCTCTATTTGCATTAAACATGACGGAATAATCTTACTGTTATTCTTCATTTTTTAGTAACTATTTCCAGTTTCATATCCCGTAAATGGACATTCATGCCCATTTGCATCCAGAGTACAGAGCAAATAGATATTCGTGTCTCCAAACTAGAATGGTAGGCGTTGACAGATCGCACCCCAAATATAGCATCATTATCCAAGAAAAGTAGTTTAGTTAGTTTAGTTCACTAGCTTACAGTTTCAATGAATAGTTCAAAACTAGCAACAATCCTATTCCTACTGTCTTTTTTTATATTTCTTCGAGAAACAAGTGCGGTATGATTCATTTTTTATCTGAAGATAAAAAGTTTACAATTCAGTGCATTGCTCTCGGCTGTCTAGGTGTAGGATGTCTACCGGTGCCTCCCTGCTTATTTGGAGCCTGTCTTCCACCCTTACCTCGTGTAAATTTCCATTGTTTCAATTCCGCTACAAACGTTATTACAGCTTATACCTTGCCCATGCAACATGGGATTTCAGTGCATAAATGGGGGTTGTATCATGGCCAGAGCGCGGAGTGCTAAGACATACATTCCAAAGGGTGAAATAAACCAAGCTGAACCAATTGAAGTAAGATAATAACAAATAAATAATAGTAAATTGCTTGAGGATCCCAATACTCACTTCAAAACATGTTGCAATCTGTTGGATGTTGCTGATGGCTGCACTCCGTTGTGTTCTTACAATAATTACACCACCGAATCAGTAACCAAACAGTTTTTTCAAAGTTCCCCAATACCAAGTTATAGATAAAAGGATCCTTACAAATTACTTCCAAATGCCCCATGACCGCTTTACCGCAAGTGCACTTTTGTGCTGCCAGAGGCGCTGATCACACCGAGTGCTGCAGAGCAGGAAATGTTCCTGCTGATTGCAATGTTTTTTGTGACCAGGTATGAATGAGTTAGATGACATACTCGCAATTTACAACCCGATCACTACAGAGAGCTGGAAACATCACACATTTATCTCTTCAACACTTGAAGTGTTTCGATTACTTAGAACATATTAAAGGGTGTTTCCTTGATCACGCTGTTAAGGAGTATTACGAGAGCAAAATGCAATTGCTTGAACCAAAACTTAAATAAATATTTGGAATTGTTTATTAATTAGAATGAACGGTCTAATTCTGCGTCCACGATAGGGATTAATAAATTATGAACTTGTCTACCGAAGTTTACAAGATTTTGCCTTGGTTGAACTTCTTTCCATCCAAGTCTCCCTCCCAGAGAAGTTACTCATTAGCCAGCTTCCGTCTTTTCGTCCTTGGGGTCAAGCTTCTTCCACTCGTATGATTCGTAATCAATCTGAAATGTGACTTACAAGATAGAAGATATACACTACGCT